TAAAACTTATCTGTGATGGGCGATATAAATATAGATATAGTAAATCATACAACTGATAACAGATCAACTGAGTATCTTAACCTAAATGCATTTCATGGACTTCTTCCTGCTCACAATATGCCTACTAGACTCGGTGCTTGTTTAGATCACGTTATGTTGCGTTCAACTATGGCAGCCACTACAGTAGTATTTAATTCGACGGTAACTGACCATCAAGCTGTGATATTATGTTTAAACACCAAGCAAAAAAATAATTTAACATCTAGAACTCAAACAAAAATTGATTACGACAAAGTTAGATTAGAATTAGAACAAAATAACTTTGAATTTGTATTCAAATGTTCTAACGCAAATGAGGCTGCTACACTTTTTGTATCATATTTACAACAATTATTGATAGCGAATACAATTAAAGTTACAATTTCGAACCGATTAAGACCTATAAAACCCTGGATTACATTAGGAATTTTAAAATGTATACGAAATCGTGATAATTTATTTAAAAAATATAAATCTTTTCCTGGCAATAATATCATAAAATTAACATATACAAGATATCGAAATTATTGTAACTCCATGATTAAAAAAGTTAAAATGGCTTATTATAGAGATAAAGTTAGTAAAGCAGGTAAAGATAATAAAAAGCTTTGGGAAACCATTAAAGAGATAACAAATACCACGAAAATGAAAACTGATTCTACTGAACTGCTTAACAGCGCCAAGAAACCTCAAGAGGCTATCAATTCAATTAATAGTTATTTTGTGAATATAGGTAAACAACTTGCTGATAATATTGCAGTTAAGGAAAGGGTTACAAGTTCTTTAGCAATTAGACCAACACGGAACTGTACGTCGTCCTTTGTAATACTCAACACTGACGAAGAAGAAGTTTCCAGACTTATCATGAGCCTAAAAAACAAATGTGCCAATGGATGGGACAATATCTCTAACTGTTTCATAAAAAACATTAAAGAATATATTGTTGGGCCATTGACATATATATGTAACCTTTGCTTTAAAGAAGGTGTATTTCCTCAAGTTTTTAAACGGTCTATTATTCATCCAATTTATAAATCTGGAGACAGAGATAATGTCGGCAACTATCGACCGATTTCAATTCTTCCATGTTTTTCGAAAATAATCGAACGAATTATAAACAAACAACTCACGAACTACTTAGAAAGTAAAAAAGTACTATCCCCTAACCAGTTTGGTTTTCGGCAGGGCAGATCCACTGATGAAGCAGTACATGACTTAACAGATTACGTAGTTAGAAATTTGGACAAAAATAACAAAGTCATTGGAATTTTTTTGGATCTCGCCAAGGCGTTTGACACGGTTTCTACCTGCATTCTAATAGAAAAGTTGGAATTATGTGGTATTAGAGGAAAGCAACTTGCTTTGTTTAAAGATTATCTCTGTAATAAAACACAATGCACTAAAATCGGAGATTACATTAGTCACGAGGCTTTAATTTCCTACGGTGTGCCCCAAGGCAGCATTCTAGGTCCCACATTATTTCTCGTCTATATAAACGATCTCACTTCTATTCAGCTTCCTTATGGACATATAATATCATATGCTGATGACACATGCCTTCTTTTTTCTACAAATTCCTGGGAAGCTGTTCAGGATGCTGCGCAGATGGGACTTAATTTGATAAATGAATGGTTGCAAACTAATTTTCTTACCTTGAATTATGAAAAAACCAAATACATTGCTTTCACAATACGTAAAGAACACCTTGATCATATTATCAATAAACCGCTGATCTCACACAAATGTCTCTCAAATACTAATATTAAATCATTTAAATGTAACAAAATAGAATTAGTCCATAACATTAAGTATCTTGGTGAAATAATAGATTCCAACCTTTCTTTTAAAAATCATATCGAAGTATTATCCAATAGACTATCTAAATTAATATACATATTCAAAAATGTACGCCATGTGCTAGATAAATCAGCTTTAACACGTATCTACTATGCACTAGCGCAAAGCCTTCTTACTTATTGCATCACCTCCTGGGGCGGTGCTCCTAAAACAATTATGAAGCGCGTAGAAATATCACAAAGGGCCATTTTAAAAGTTTGCGGGTTCTTCTCTTATAGACATCCAACTGAACTTCTTTATCGATACTGGCAGGTACTAACGGTACGTCAGCTGTTTATTCTCTATACATTGTTGAAGCAACACAGTGAAAATACCTATGATCCCCATAAATTTGTAGGAGTTAGACGTAAAAATACAGTTTGCGCAACATTTGACAACAACGAAGAAGACATATACAAAAAAATTCTTTTGCTACTTGGGTGGATTCTTATACAATCAAATAAATGAAAAATTATCTATATATTCTAACAATAAATATGATTGCAGAAAATACGTACATGACTGGTTACTGAAGTTAGATTATGATTTAACGGAATCGCTCCTATCAAGATAAATATAATGTACACACACACACACACACACACACACACACACACACACACACACACGCGCGCGCACGCACACACGCACACGCACGCACACACACACACACACACACACACACAAACACACACACACATGCGCGCGCGCGCACATACAATACACTACACTAATATAAACATATAACACCATACATACATACATACATACATATATGTATTTACACATTTGATATCCTAATACACTCTTAATTAGTATTTTATCCTGGATCTTCGTTGTAATTATATTTCATTACAATATAAGAATAACTTTTTTTATCTATCTATCTATTGTGTTCCTAGAATAATTTCATACAATGTCATAGCATTCGAGGGGTGAGAACCTGGTGACTTGTACTACAGGCTTATATATGCCTACTTCAGGCACCAGCTTCTCACATAATAAAATTCTGTTTATGTACTACTAGATTTACATTGTTTTACTTTATGTTATATGAGAAGATAAATAAAGACTTTATTATTATTATTATTATTATTATTAATATAATTTTTAATAATAATATACTACGAAAGGAATTTCGTTCCAACTGAATATTCTACCACACTCACGCATGTTTTTTTAAATACATTTTTAAGGCTAACTTTTAAATTAAATTATATTTAGCGATATAAGAAAATAAAATATCTAACTGAAATGTACCGCAGAAACAAAAAAAAGGAAAACAATTTTATTCGTTATATTTATGCAAACAGTAATTTAAAATTGTATGAGCTTCATCAGAACTCCTAACATAAAAGTATTTTTTTTATGCTTGCAATCAATGAGACATAGTTGAATGAACAATCCAGCTATGAGCCTCTCAAGTAGTTTGATTTTCCGTTTAGCAGGGTTGTATTAAAAACTTTATTTTATGTCAATGGTACTGTGTTCTTTTTGTGTGGAATCCAATTGTCTAATGCACTACAGTGCCACCAACTTATCTGTTCAGGTGGACAAAATTGGAACTAATGCCGCCATTTTGTAAATGACATTTCGCTGTCAGTTATTATTTATTCTGAGCTATCAGGTGAATGTTTTTAAAAAGTGCAATTAAAATGCCTAAAGCTCTTAAAAGTGATGCGCGACAGATTATCCTAAAAGTTTTATCTTTTATGAAAGAAGAGAAACGTGTACAAGCCCCAACTATACCATTTGAAAAGCTGTATGAGCGCGTTGCTGCCGCGACTGGTTAGTATTGCCAGATATGGAAAATTAAAATCACCAAATAATGTACTTGTAAAACATAGTAAAAAAATTATCTCAATTTACTGTAATTCGTCTAAAGTACCTAGCTTTGTAGTTTGTGGTCTGTGAAGTAGTTTTAGTGGCGGCATATACACGGGCTTACATTTATTTAATTTTACCTATACAATAATTATTTGTCGTTTCGTTACAGGTGTTTCTGAGCGATTTGTACACAAACTCGTAAATGAAGAGAAACACGCTGAATAATCCAATTCTAAAATTTCTACCCCTGGCAAAAAAAGGCAAAGAAAAACCGGGAAGCAAGAAGTTGATAATTTTGACATTGGTGTTATAAGAAGAAAAATTCACGAATTTTATTCAGTGAAAAATGAAATCCCTACCATACCCAAATTACTGAGTATTTTAAAGGAAGATATTGATTTCAAAGGAGAACGTGAAACTCTTCGAAAATTGCTTCACAAAATAGGATTTCGTTATAAGAAAACGAAATCAAATAGAAAAGTGTTGTGCGAACGTAACGACGTAGTTGCATGGAGAGCAACCTACCTACAAAAAATTAAAGAAAATGAGCGTGGTGAAAAAAGACCTGTTATTTATTTAGACGAAACTTACATTCACTCGTCTCACTCAACTGGGAAATGTTGGCAAGGTCCTGAAGAATGTTCTAATGCCCCAATTAATTGAAGATGCATTTAATAAAATTACACCGGTGCAGTGGAAAAACATATGCAATCATGTGAAAAAAATTGAAAATGAATACAGACTAAAAGACGCGTATTTAGATGAACCCTTTATTATAGAGTGTCAGAGCGATAGCGAAACCGATTCCAGTGACATTGATGATTCCAGATGAATTATTGGAACCAGTATCTAACGCGGGTACATCTTTCAAAACAGGAATTCCTGGAGTTCGACCGCTTGAACTCCGAGACCACGACCACAATTATTTTTATAAAATATAAATTATATATATATATATATATATATATATATATATATATATATATATATATATATATATAAATATAATTTATATATATATATATATATTAACACGAAATTTGTTTTATTTTATATTATGTGTAATGAATATGTAGTCACCTATTTCCTCGGTAAATTTCTTAAATGGCAATAGTAAGCACTCCACTAGCGACTCTGTCAACTGAACAGATAAGTTGGTGGCACTATATCTTCTTTTATTTTTAATATCTTTGACTTATACTCAAACATAGTAATTCTGTACTCTTTGGTTGCACAGCTGCACATGTTGTTTTCGAACGCAATAACGGTTACGCAAAAAAAATAATACAGCGGCCGCCATCTTGAAAGCGTAATTGTTGTCATGTTTACGTTGTGTGTGAAAGGCGATTTTTATAATTCATATTATATTATTTAGGTATAATCGTAGTCAATAAGCTTTATTGTGTGTAAATATTGTGTAGATCACTTTTTACTAAATGTTAACATATCTTAATTATATGTGCCTACGTTGTATACGTCTTGTTCTGTTACTTTACAGAATAGGCGCCAAATTGTTCTGTCGCTAAAGATTTTATTCTTTTTATGAGTTTAAATTAAATGTAACCATGATAATTTATAACTGAATTTATTTTAAATGATGTTAAAAATGTTTTTTCAGGGTGACGTTAATGTAACGGATTGGATTCGGTAATTTATAAAAATGTTTTATGCACACTTTGTGCTGGCCAAAAAAGGCCCTTTGGCCAAGATTTGGCTGGCCGCACACTGGGACAAGAAATTAACAAAGGCTCATGTTTTTGAAACGAATATTGAGAAGTCGGTCGATGGAATACTTAAACCCAAAGTGAAAATGGCTTTACGAACTTCAGGCCATCTGTTGCTTGGTGTAGTAAGGATCTATTCAAGGAAAGCAAAGTATTTACTCCAAGATTGTAATGAGGCTTTTGTCAAGATTAAGGTAAGATTGTTTTAATTCAATTGCAAATATCATTACATTTGATTGAAATTGTTTTGGTATCATATCTAGACAAACATATACGTCTATAGGTTTAAGCCTGCGAGAGAATGAGATAGAATACAGTATAGTATTTTTCTGAAGTTATCACTTCTACTGAGTGTGAACTGCACACAATTTCTTTTTATAGAATATGGGTGATAAACAAACACACAGTCCACCTTATGAAAAGTGGATGACCCATAGATCTATCACAACTATTGTCAATTAATCTAAAGGTATATAAGTTGCCACCCCTCAGGAATAAGGTGGAATGCATTGTTACTATTAAACAGGGTCTCTGGTTCTCTTAGATTTATTGGTATTGTGTGAGATCATGGTTTTCTCCCAGTTGAGCCTATCCATTCATGCTCTTGCCATAATTTAGCTGCAGTGGATTGTATCATGTTAATAAATTGACAAAATAGATAATAAGTTTAATTTAGATTATAGACTATCATTTCTACTTCCATCAAGTAGAATTTTGTCTTACTGTTGATGTGCTTTTTTATACAAGTCATATATTTTTGAGATTATTTTATTGGGACATCAAATGGAATTGTGTGTTTCCTTAATTCCATTCTATTTCAGTGTTCTTCACTCAAACTAGAATAATATTTGTCTACTTGATTAAAATATGATTCATTAACTTGAATACAAATTTTTAAAAGTAAATGTTTAATGATTTTATCATACAAAATATCATTCGTGTAGTGTACCAATAATATGCATAAATATTAACACATTCATGCACACACTTCAATATTGTAGCTCTGTTATATTATCTAATGACGCTGTGCAAATAACAGATGATAATAATAATAATATTAGTATTGAAATATGACGTCCTAGACGTCGACGTTTATAGATGCTATTCTTCAAATGATATATAAAAGTCTGCGCAATAGCGAACAACATATCACAACGTCGTCGTTCATATACGCTGTGCAACGATATATATAAAAAAATTGTGCAGTGGGGAACAACATATTATAACGTCCACAAATAATGATGCCTGTTGCTGTAAAGCGCAGATAAATATATATACAATAGCTAACAACACCAAACTAATAATGTTAACAGTACATATAAGAAGTATTTTGTATAAAAATAAGATGTTCTAGAAAGTTTTAACATATTATTAGACAAAAAGAAATAAAATGAAACGCTTATTATATAAAATTATTGATTTTCAAATAACAGTACATATAAGAAGTATTTTGTATAAAAATAAAATGTTCTAGAAAGTTTTAACATATTATTAGACAAAAAGAAATAAAATGAAAGGCTTGTTATAAAAATTATTTATTTTCAAATAACAGTACATATAAGAAGTATTTTGTATAAAAATAAAATGTTCTAGAAAGTTTTAACATATTATTAGACAAAAAGAAATAAAATGAAACGCTTATTATATAAAATTATTTATTTTCAAATTATTGGGTTAATCAATTGAGGAAATACACCAGTGCAATTTTTGGTTAAATCAGACTCATTTATCGCTTATTATTGAGATCAAAGCAACTATCACAAATATAAAACAATTAGGTATTATTCTTATAAACAAAAATATTTAAACTTACAATTGAAAATGCAAAAAAATCATCTTATGAACTTATTCTATACTTAGATATACCATGGTTACAACTTAGAATTATAGAAACCAATAAATCTCTTTAAATTTCTAACTATCATTCCTACTATTTTGCTAAACAAGCAAGGACAAACTGTGACCCAACCTCACAAAATTGCTAGGGTATTTGTGGACCAATTCACTAATTTTTTTCCAAACAGAACCACATGACCAACTGCCTACATTAGACCCGACACCTCGAGTAGAGGATACCATTGAAGAAATTCTGTTCAAGCCAGACCAAGTCAACCAAGTCATTTCAGAAATGAAAACAGATTCATCTTCGGGACTAGACGATATACCGGTAGCTATATTGAAGAAATGCAACCTATCTCACTATTTAACAACAATAATGCAAACATCGTACGAGACAAGCACCTTACCGGACTTATGGAAAACATCATTGGTGACACCCATATTTAAAAAAGGTAGCAAACTGGAACCATCCATTTACAGACCCATCAGTTTGACCAGTGTGGTCTGCAAGATTATGGAGAAAATTATAGTCAAGCATATTAGAAACTTCCTCTCCAACCACAAAGTTATCCCTAAACAGCAACATGATTTTTGTCCACATCGTTTCACAATTTCCAATTTATTATTATGCCTATCGTCATGGACCAAACACTTTAATGAGAGAGAGCCTATTGACGTAATTTATCTTGACTACGAAAAGGACTTTGATAAAGTCCCTACGAGAAGACTCCTCCAGAAACTGGAATGTGTAGGAATATGTGGAAAACTACTAGCTTGAATCGAGTCTTTTTTGCGTGGGAGAACCCAACAAGTAATAATCAGTGAAACAAACTCTGATCACATAGATATACATAGTGGAGTGCCACAGGGTTCCGTTCTAGTTCCTGTATTGTACATTAGTTATACTTTTGACCTTCCCCTTTGCCTACAGTGTAATGTCAGCATATTTGCAGATGATACTAAAATATTTGCAAATCCACTAATAGACTACAACTGCCTTCAGGATGATCTAAATAAAATAGCTATTTGTTCCAAGGAATGGCTCATAAATCTCAATGCTTCAAAATGTACAGTATTACGCATAGGAAACTGTAACCTCATCTTACCTATAAACTGAGCGGCACGTCACTTACAGATGTTAAAATACAAACAGATTTGGGAGTCAAAATTGCAGAAGACTTGAAGTAGCATATAACAACTACTGTTAAGAAAGCTAAGGGAATTATCTACCTCGTGAGAAAAGCTTTTGCTGTCGTAACACTGGAAATGATGCTTAAGATCCACAAAATATTTATCAGGCCAATATTAGAATATGCATTTCAAGTCTGGAATCCATACTTTATCAAGAACATTGAAGCGTTGGAAAAAGTACAGCGTAGCTTCACTAAAGTACCACGGCTATTGAAACAACAGTCTTATGAAGAACGTTTGATAGTTTTAAAACTTACAACATTAAAAAGCCCGAGGGACCGAGGAGATCTAATTGAGACCTTTAATATCTTAAATGGGCATTACGACATTGAGAAGTTTGACAAATTGTTTATTCGTATTGAAAAACACCAAATTCTCCATTGTCAACAAAAAGGTTTGGCGTGGTTTCCCGGGATGACTAAAGCTCAAAGATTTTCATTGAAGATTCCTTCTTTTTTTGACTCATTTTATATATCTAAAACAAAAAAAAATACAAAATATGTATTTTGAACATATTCAGACTTATTACAATAAAGTAAAATATATTTATATAATATATATATTGTAGTAAGATAATCAAAATACTTACGTTTTGCGTCAATATTCCGTCCAATATTATATATTATTATGTGAACATAAAATCGGCGCATGCACTAATCCCGCGACGCGCACAAGTCGACTGATGTAATGAAACTTCTTTTGCGAAACGAATTATAATGACATTGTGCGCTAACAAAATATGTACTTAGTACCAGGGCGAAACGCCATCAAAGAAGGAAAAAAAAATCGGTGTGATGTAGCACGACAATTTTGAGAATTCGATATGTTGTGGCACAGTAACCCAACTTTAAAACATTAGTATCGCCAGACACCGTACCATATATACACAACAACTTGTAGAACTTTAACTTTGTCATTACGGTTTTCGGCGGGAACGTACGCAAGCCGCAGTTGGACGAAAACGTACCTTTATTCTTCACTAGTTGTTCCCTGCGACTTCGCTCGCGTGTTAGGGTTTTTATTTTTTAGCGCGGAACCCTAATTCTTTTTCTAAAATAAAAGTAGTCTAAGTTACTCCTTATGACATCAGCTATCTGCCAGTGAAAGTGACGTCAAAATCGGTCCAGCTGTTTCGGAGATTAGCCGGAACAAACAGACAGAATAAAAATTTTAAAATTGTTATTTAGTTATGAGTACCGTATTTACTTTCATATGCATTTAGTAAAAAGCTGTTATTTTGACATTACAAACAGACACTTCAATTTTATTTATTTGTATAGATTATTATAAATTATTTACAGAAAAATATTTTCGTCTCCTACGACAAGTTCGGAATTCTTTATTATTGAATTTAACTGTGTAAAAAATATCATTCCAATGAACAGGTTTTTTTAAAATAAACTGTTGGGAAACAAGGAACGGGTACTATGAAACCGATTTTGTTTATTTTTTTGTAAATTAGATCAGCTACTTTGCAGTTTATATGTTCTTTTGTAAAGCAACAACGAAAAATCGGTTTCAACACCCTCAAAAACTATGAAAATGACACCCATGATGAAAAAATTGATACCTATTTCAGCCGCCATCTTGGATTTATATTTCGACAGCACTATCGGCTTTAACACCCTCGAAAACCATGAAAATGACACCCATGTTTTTTATAAGTGATCGATGCACCCATGACGAAAAAATTGATACCTATTGCAGCCCCCATCTTGAATTTACATTTCAACCAGCACTATCGGCTTCAACATACTCAAAAACTATGAAAATGACACCCATGACGAAAAAATGATACCTATTGCAGCCGCCATCTTGGATTTATATTTCGACAGCACTATGGGCTTCAACACCCTCGAAACCCATGAAAATAGCACCCATGACAAAAAAATTATACCTATTGCAGCCGCCATCTTGGATTTATATTTCGACAGCACTATGGGCTTCAACACCCTCGAAACCCATGAAAATAGCACCCATGACAAAAAAATGATCAAAATCTTGGATTTACTTTTTGTTACCACTATTACACTATCACCTTTAAATAGCCTCAAAACCGCCGCATTCTGGATGTACAAATAAGTTCACGAATTCATTATGATCGATCACTCGGACTTATAATTCGATAACGATTATAAAAATGACAATAAAAATCATTCTTACCTTTCAAAATCAGCAGGAAGCTTAAAATAAGATAGCTCCGGTTTTGATGAAGCCGAGTTCAAACAGCCGTATACTACGCAATACGTTCGTGGCATTTTTAGTCTTGAGGCGACATTTGCTACTGAGAGCACCGCGACGAGCGCTTAGAAGTCTCGTCGTTGCGCATGTTTGTGTGAGTGTGCCGTTTCGAGCGTTTGTAGGAAGTTTCCGTACTGTTCCTACTATATATTTACTGTGATTATACTGTAAAAAAGTGATTTGCATTTAATAGCATATATATATATATATATATATATATATATATAGGAGAGGGGGGCATACGAGCATGCGGCTCACCTGATGGTAAGTGACTACCGCCGCCCATGAACAACTGCAACACCAGGGGAATTGCAGATGTGTTGCTGGCCTTTTAAAAAGGAGTAGGCTCTTTTCTTGAAGGTCCCTAAGTTGTATCGGTCCGGAAAAATTGCTGGTGGTAAACTATTCCACAAGGAAGTTGTGCGAGGAAGAAAACATCTTCTAAATCGCACAGTGGTGGACCGCCAATCATCCAGATGGTGTGGATGATATCGGGAGTGCTGTCGCGATGGGCATTCGTGAAATATGGTGGCTGGGATTAATTCGAACAAATCCTCAGAGCACTCCCCGTGGTAAATGCGAAAGAAAATGCAAAGAGATGCAACATCTCTTCGCAGCGCCAATGAATCGAGCCGATCGGAAAGGACTCGGTCGTCGACGATTCGAGTCGCTCTGCGCTGGATGCGGTCAAGTGGAAGGAGCTGGCACTGGGGAGCCCCAGTCCAGAGATGAGAATAGTATTCCATGTGAGGCCGAACCTGCACCTTGTAAAGTTGCAGGCGTTGTGCCGGCATCAAATACTGTCCCGCTCTGCTGAGCACACCAAGCTTTTTAGAGGCCAATTTGGCCTTCTCTTCCAAGTGACCACGAAACTGCAGGTCCCGATACTGGCTGAGGCAACAAGGGGAGTGCCTAGAAACTGAGGAGATACGACAAAGGGGTTCTTTTTAGCGGTCACCACGCAAACTTGTGTCTTCTGAGGATTAAACTGGACTAGATTTAGTCGCCCCCAATCCGAGACTTTGTTCAGCAAAGACTTGACTTCAGACACAAGTTTGTTCCGGTACTTGGTGACTTTTCCCGAGAAATATTGGCACGGCCATTGTATAGAACATCACCAGTGCTGTCATCCTCATAGCAATGAATGCTACCGGTTTGCAACATATCATTGATATGCAGAAGAAACAGCGTTGGTGATAGCACACAGCCTTGTGGAACACCAGCATTAATAGGCTTGTAGTAGGAGCATGCACTGTCTACAACAACCTTGATACTCCGATACATATGAAATCATTTATCACTGTTCCAAAGGAGTGGTGATAAAACACCTCTTAGCCTTTCACTATTTGGGCTGCTTGTCAAGCTCTAACAATTTTTACTGTTTATTTGCTAAGTATGTTCACAATACAATATATTAAAGCTGGTTCAACTCAGTGTCTGTAGTATGCAGCCTCTATATTCGAAAAATTTGATAAATATGAAGAATCCTAGACATATTGAAAAGCTTCTTCAATCCTAGTTACTACTTGGTGAAATGCTGATTCTGTTTATTAACTGCAACTTTAACCATGATGTTTGTTATACAACAGTAAAGCCTTTATCCTGGGGTGGACACCTCAGGCTTAGGAGTATTAATAGTGCAAGATATTGCAAACCTAGACACCTGCCAAATATTCTAATTACAGACTAGTGGGATGTATGACACAATTTAAACTATCATATAGGAGTCCTCTTATCATTTAAATCGACAACTGAGTTTATCTATAACTAAGAATGTTAGAGGTATATTATTTTCAATAATTAAATATATACCATGGCTATATGATCTTCATGTTTAATCTACTATTTCAACACCTTAACTAAGGTTGCTTATTAAGATTTGGTCAGTGTCGTGTTGAATAATCACTAATATGTGTTAAGATTGAATATTATAACAAATTATTATAAAGGTAGGAAAAGCCTGTATGTATCCATTTACTGTTTATAGGCTGATATGATAATTAAGCAATAATTATCTTATTTATTGCTAAGTCTTTCACTAGCAATATTTTACAGTAGTTGCTTAGGCTTGAAGTGGACTGAAAAAGATAATTGTCCAGATATATATTTTTTCTTAATGTCCAATAAGGGTCCACATTGAGATTGTGCAGAGATGTTTTGATTATTATAGAGATGAGTCTGATCATTTTTGACTTTTACATTGTTGCTTTGACAAACCTAACCAAAATAAATTATTCACTCTGAGGGCTTTATGAGCATAGGGTAGTATTAAAAATAATTATGATCTATAGGTATAATTATTGTGTATGTATTAAGATGTGAGCAATGTATAGGTACTTTACTTACATATATTTAAACTTTAATTCATTCAATTATAATTGGTATTCTAGATGGCCTTCAGGCCTGGTATGGTGGATTTGCCTGAAGAACATAGAGAGGCTGCTATGAATGCCATTACATTGCCAGAGGTCTTTCATGACTTTGACACAGCTATGCCTGAACTCAAGTATGTTTATTAGATATTTCTTCTTTTTTACTTTCATTTAAGGTTGAGTTTAAGAGATTAGGTAAATCTAACAGAGGGCATGTACAAGGGTGGATTGAAAAGTACTCGGCGTAACACAGATCCATTCAATTCTAAAAATCAAATCTACCCATATTATTTAGTTCAGTTCAGACTAGTTCATTGTGTGAAGTTCGAAACATGTGCGATAATTAGTTGTGATTTTATAAATTTATTAACAAAGTAATCGGACATAATTTCCGCGAATGGAGCAAATCGAGCAGCGTGCCGTCATTAAGTACCTCCATAAGAAGGGGCTATCATCAAAAGCCATCCATGATGACATGGTCAGTACATTAGGCGATTGTGCTCTGTCATATTCATCCGTCAAAAAATGGATAGCAGAATTTAAGCGTGGTAGAGAGAGTGTGAAAGATGAACCCCGCTCTGGAAGGCCTTCGACGTCAACTACTGACGAAAATATTAAAAAAGTACTTGATTTAATAATGGGAGACCGCAGATTAAAAATTAGAGAGATAGCCGAGATTATAGGCATCTCTTATGAACGAACTCAAAACATCATTGTCAACGAGTTGGGTTTCCACAAGGTGTCTGCGAGGTGGGTTCCGCGACTGCTTTCAGTTGAACAAAAAAGGACGCGATTGACTATTTCACGCGACTGTTTGGAGTTATTTGAAGCTGATGCAGATGATTTTTTGAATCGTTTTGTTACTATGGACGAAACATGGGTTCATTACTGTACACCGGAAACAAAACAACAATCAAAACAGTGGAGAAGACCTGGTTCACCACCCCCTAAAAAGGCTAAGTCGATTTTGTCGGCAAGTAAGGTGATGGCTACAGTATTCTGGGACTCGAAAGGTGTGATTATGATTGATTATCTTGAAAGGGGTCAGAATATAAACTCTGATTACTACTGCACCTTACTACGTCGTTTACGAGAGGAAATAAAAGAAAAACGTCGAGGAATGCTCAGAAGAAAAGTCCTGTTTCATCAAGATAACGCCCGTGTTCACACGTCAGTACAGTCAATGGCTGAAATTCACAACTGTGGCTTTGAACTGTTACCGCATCCGCCGTATTCACCTGATCTGGCACCATCAGACTTCTTTCTGTTCCCTAACCTAAAAAAGCACTTGCGAGGTCAAAGATTTTCGACAAACGACGAGGTCAAAGCAGCTGTAGACGCATATTTTGACTCTAAGGAAGAATCATTTTTTTTCAACGGTCTAAATGCTTGGAAGGGGAGGTGGTAAAAGTGTATTGAACTTGATGGTGATTATGTAGAAAAATAAAAATATAACTGATTTAGTATTTGTTTATTTTCTTGGTTAGGCCGAGTACTTTTCAATCCACCCTCGTAGCATGTAGGTTATCAAAGAAAATAATTACTGAGGAGTTCTCTATTTAAGACATGTTTTCTAAAACTGTTAAGGTAAAATTGTTTGAACTACATAAATAATTGTGAAAATGTAGAACTGACTGTATGTCAGTTTTACTTTTCACAATATTGTTAACCTACATAATGTAGTAAGTATAGAGATCAAATTTAATAATTAATTTCACTTTACAGAGAAAAAACGAAACCAAAAAAAAATCTTGCTAATCACAAGTATTTCCATTAATTTCTTTTACTGATGGCTTATTGTTACTAAAAACCACAACTTTTTTCCATATTTGTTCAGTGAGGTGGATATTGAAGCACAGTTCTCATTGAACCAATCAAGAGCTGAAGAGATTACAATGAGGGAAGATTATGGTTCCCTAAACCTGGTTACACATGATGATGGCTTTGGTGACATGGGATTTGACACTGAACATCCTGATATAATGAGAGAAGCTATTGGTACTGAAGGAGCCTTGGAGCAGGTATATATATTATTCCTTTATAACATTGTAACCATAATGAAATACCAAGCAACAACGTCAAAGGTGCCAGCCAGGAGTGTCAACTAAGCCATTTCTTCCCACAATAGAATAATTGTAGGGGGTGCCCATGATGCTAAAGGGTATTTACTCGAGCATCATGAGGACAAATTGGATTTTGTATATTAGTTGATAGGAAGAAAAAAGTTGTATAATGTTTCTCCCTTCCAATGGTGGGGGAAGCATCTACAGATATTCAATAATGTAAAAAGTACTACAGATGTTCAAAAATTAATTCCAGCACGTCAGATATTCAAAGGAGATGTTAAGTGAACCCTAAATATACTCCCATTCAATAGAGTGACGATTCGGAAGTGACGCTAGCTTGTAACGAATTTTTGAAAATGCGAAAAAAAATCGCCATATTAAAATACTCGAGCGTGTGTGATTATTATACAGAAGGTTCAGCTTTAGGTCCCACTTATGGTAGCTTAAAATCGGACAATTATTTTGAGGGATATTAATAATCTGACTGCTAGAAATATCTTTTTTTTTATTAATTTTTTTTCTAAATAACAATAAAATGTGACTGTGAATGGGTGGAGATGCCACGAAAGAGTGAGATAGGGAAAAAGTGAAAGGCAGAGAGGCGCGGAGTGGGGGTATACATGCTTTACTCCAACTGCACACTCTCATCTTCATAGACAGTTTTTTGTATTTCGACTTGTAGAAATCGGCAGTATACAGTTTCTTCAAAATAAAAAAAAAATTAAACCATGCACGAGAATGTCAAGACAACATTCTTTTTGCAACTTTGTAACTCTCCCATTCTCTTAAGCTACGCTCAAATCGTCAGATTTTCTAAATGCACTCTTTTTAGCTCACACACACCCACTGGTAGGTAGGTAAACACTTGTGTGTGCATTCATGCTTCCATGTGTTTGAGTATGTCTGTCTGTTAATGTGCCAATAAGATGAGACATTTTAACTCTAAAATAATAAAGAGTATCTCGACATCTACTCTGGTGTATGTGCACGAATTATAATATTAATTTAATTTGTAGAGTAACCTGCTGTTTGCGGAGGGATCTTCGTTGGAGTTGACGGGCAAGGAGGCGGGGCCTAGTGAGCCGCGTGAAACTCCGCGTCTTGAAGCCGCGCCGCAGCACATGGACGACGGCTTCGGTGCCACCATTGCTGAAGTACCTGACTTTGGACGTTAGTGTGGTTCTGATTCCATTAAAATTTATAATGCATAAAAATGTAAATGATAGTGGTGAAATGTACATTTGTGTGTAGCATGTGCAAACTTTGATTAATGCTTGAATTTGAAAAGAGTCATATTAACCAATAAGCACTCAATTCACCTGATGGCAAGTTGATGCTGTGGCCTACAGATACTTACATTTATTTTAATTGTTGTTATCATCCCTGAAAAATTGGATGTATTACTACATTGTCAACATCATCAACATGCCCAATAAAAAAAATACTTTTTAAATAAGAATCTAACGTATCTTTCACAGATGCGGGAGGTTTGTTCGAAGGCGATCTGTTCGGCGACGTGACGGCGGGCACGTCGTCGGCCGCTGCGGCGGGCCTACCTGGCACCACCACCCAGCCGCAATCTTTGCAGGTACAAAAATGTTCTATAAGCTTTCTTTACTATTTCTTAGATACTATCGATAACTGTAGACATATTAGATACCGAAAAATCCTTTCGTTTTTTGTAGTACACAGAAATGTTCTCGATTATTTCTATACATTTTTCTTTAAATATTGAATCTTATTGAGTGCTACTTGTGAAATATTGTAGAAAAACTTGGTAGGGAGGAAGGAAATGTTTTTCGGAACTTAATTTTTACAAAACTGAACCAGTTTTGGTGTCATAACACTAAATGTGATGGGATGGCATCTTTATGCTAGACAGATGGAAGAAGGTTGTAGATAATCAGAGATAATATAAATTTACTATACTAGAAGTTTAGAACCTTAATAGCTATTCACATAATGGAATATAATAACAGTTTCAAAATTTTTATTCATTGTAAAAGTTCTGTTTTGGAATCCAATTGGATTAGTACCACTATCAGCACCTATTTTTGCCATCAAGTAGTGCATTGCCTATATACGACATGTTACTTAATTATTCGAACATGCTTAGATTTTCATTGAATTTGTCTGTAAAATATGAAAATGGGTAACATGCATTCTCTAAGAATAAATGGTAATTAAGTTATTGAAAGCAAAATGTGAATGTTAACTACTAATGTGTTTATTGTCAATCACCCAATTAATCAGTCAGCTGAAGTGGCAGTGAACTGTATAAAGTTTTCTGAGAGAGCCTCACAGTAAACCAAAAGTGCAGGTCCTCATTAGGTGGTGAGACAACTTGATTAAGCATGCAGGTAATACATGAAAGCCAATGGCTCTGCACAGTGGACATGCTATGGGATGTAGTGATGTTAATATTAACATTTTCACTCTACGGTTTTCAGACACAATTGTAAGACAATAGCAATGACCTATATGTAGTGCGTGTTACATCGAAAAATAAAATAACTTTATAATACACTTAGCGGTTAAAATAGAATAACTTTATAATACACTTAATGAATTTATATTCATAACCATTTAGCTTTGACCTTAGACCAACAAAGAAATATAGACTTTATGGTTGTTGTTTTCAGGCAGAGATAGAAGCGGCAGGAGAACGAGCAGCTGAGGCTGATGCGGCGGCCGGCGAAGCGCACGACTCTGACGAGGAAATGGGTGACCACTATGACGCCGGGAATTCGCCGCCACACAGGTAATACATCTTTTTAAAATAATGTGTTTTAGTTTAACGAGTAACCATACAATCGTCTTTAGACAACTCACACAATCGTCGGGATGGTTATACCGACGATTGTCGAAAATTATAACAGATGAGACTGAATGGACTGATGTATTTTTTCTGTCGCCAGTATATGACAGCATTTATATCAAATAAAAGACCTACAGGATCATTTTCAATTTTTAAAAGTACTTATTATGTGTATTTGTATGATATTTAAAAGATAAGTTACAGCCTGCATACCCTGTTGGGCACAGGCCTCCTCTCATTACTGAGAGATATGCTGATTTCCTCACGATGTTTTCCTTCACCTCCGAACACATGGTAAATCAGCACTTAAAATTGCGATTAACAATTTTATTGGTGCCGGCAAGGATCGAATCCGGGTTGCTTACGTAGTGGGAAATTTAAAGCGACCGCTTAGCCCTTAAGCTACCATGGCTCTATTTGAAACATTACTCTTTCAGAAATAATAGGATGCACATAGGCTGGCATTTAGCATGGTAATTTTAAAGGAGAAACTGTAATTCTTAATTTAAATGTATTCTATTCTAATTATGAAATTGACTTGGTTGCCAAGAATTTAAACATAAGAGGGTCATGGAATGGAATCAAAATTATTTTTGTTACTATTGTAAAGAAAGTAAAAATGTTATCACCTTTCAAATTGCAAAGGCTACATAATATTTGCGACATATGGGCATAATGGGCATAAACAAAAAAAAAATTAACCGATTTCGGTGATTTTTGTTTTTGTTATTTGAAGTCGGTTTTTACATTTCTAAAAGGTCCGTTAACGCACCCGTAATTCCTATTTTTGCGTATGTTCATGGGCGGCTGTAATCACTATCAGGTGAGCCGTTAACCCTCCGCCCTCTTGTATAGGAAACGAATGTTTGTGTGTTGCAGCTGGGGTGGGTCGCCCCCGCCGCCCCCCACCCCGCACGAGGCGGCGCGCGGCGTGGAAGCCGCTGGCGCCGAGCTGATGCCGCCGCCCGCCACTCCCCGCCCGCCCTCCACGAGGCCCATGGTAACTACACCTACACATTCGCTCTCTAGCGGAGGCCGCGGGCGCCGAGCTGATGCCGCCGCCCGCCACTCCCCGCCCGCCCTCCACCAGGCCCATGGTAACTACACCTACACATTCGCTCTCTAGCGGAGGCCGCGGGCGCCGAGCTGATGCCGCCGCCCGCCACTCCCCGCCCGCCCTCCACCAGGCCCATGGTAACTACACCTACACATTCGCTCTCTAGCGGAGGCCGCGGGCGCCGAGCTGATGCCGCCGCCCGCCACTCCCCGCCCGCCCTCCACCAGGCCCATGGTAACTACACCTACACATTCGCTCTCTAGCGGAGGCCGCGGGCGCCGAGCTGATGCCGCCGCCCGCCACTCCCCGCCCGCCCTCCACGAGGCCCATGGTAACTACACCTACACATTCGCTCTCTAGCGGAGGCCGCGGGCGCCGAGCTGATGCCGCCGCCCGCCACTCCCCGCCCGCCCTCCACCAGGCCCATGGTAACTACACCTACACATTCGCTCTCTAGCGGAGGCCGCGGGCGCCGAGCTGATGCCGCCGCCCGCCACTCCCCGCCCGCCCTCCACCAGGCCCATGGTAACTACACCTACACATTCGCTCTCTAGCGGAGGCCGCGGGCGCCGAGCTGATGCCGCCGCCCGCCACTCCCCGCCCGCCACTCCCCGCCCGCCCTCCACCAGGCCCATGGTAACTACACCTACACATTCGCTCTCTAGCGGAGGCCGCGGGCGCCGAGCTGATGCCGCCGCCCGCCACTCCCCGCCCGCCCTCCACCAGGCCCATGGTAACTACACCTACACATTCACTCTCTAGCGGAGGCCGCGAGCGCCGAGCTGATGCCGCCGCCCGCCACTCCCCGCCCGCCCTCCACCAGGCCCATGGTAACTACACCTACACATTCACTCTCTAGCGGAGGCCGCGGGCGCCGAGCTAATGCTGATAGGACTCTCTCATAGAATGTCTCTCTGTGCAGTCGGGTTGGCAACCTTAATTTTTTCTTAGGTTGAATTATTATCAGGAACATTATTATCTCTTATTTCATTTCCCTCTTTCGCCATTTACGACACCCACGGGATAATATGGGGCAGTGACTTCTCGTACGCCGCCATTACCCCGTGTAATAATATTACAAAATATGGTATTTTATATAGATTTGCATCTATATAAAATACCATATTTTATATTTTGTAAGTTCTGTACTTGCGGATGCATATGCAAATATCCGCAACATCCCTGCAATAAGCTATTGATCATAATGTAAAAAATCCATAAGTATCTTCAACGTATTGGTGTTAAAGACCTCTTTTAAACAAGAAAATACCAAATGTAAATGCTATATATAATATACCTAGTCCTTCACCAAGGACCAATTTAAAGTCTGCGATGTATAATGTGAAATAAAGGACTCAAAAGCACACCACCTCATAACTTAATACCAGTTGTCAAATTATCCTACAAGAATTAGCTTTAAATAATATCATATTATGATTGAAAAGAACCACTTGTATTGAATTATTTTAATTTAAAAGAAAAACTTCTTTCTTCAGGAGGTAGATGAACCTGAAATAGCTGCTGAAGCAGCAAGGCCAATAACTCCCGCGCCAGCTTTGGACTCCACCACTTTGCTACAAAATGACGAGGAATCCTTCGCACTAGCGCCCGTGGACGCCACAGTTCTCAAAGGTACATACCTCACTCTACCACTTAAATTTTTGTCACTATATTATAACTATCTTCATGACTGGGGCTATATTTATTTATAATAGTAAATCACAGCCTACCGAACGGTTAGTCATCATGTTCATAGATAGCTACTACTTTTTAGTGAAGCATTACAATCAAAATTAATTTACCCTTGAATAGTAAATAAGTATGTGGTCCTGATCATTAGCCATTATGTTTCTTTGGTCTATAGAAATATAGAATCGGTCCTAATATAGCTATGAGCCTAATCACTATATATTGTCTCAACGAAACAAATATGTAGTGATTAGGACTTTAATCAGTATAGAATATAATCATATAATATGAAATAAAGTTATTAGTAAATATTTCCGTAAAAAGTGTTTACATTTTTAGACATTATATGCAGGGATATTTTTCAATGAGTATCCAAATTTTGTATGTAAGTTCAAGTATATAAATAATGATATACAATTGCGGTTTTAGAAAGTAAGAGTAAATAAGTCTTCCACTTTTATTTGACATTAACCCAAATTGAATGTGATTTATCGGCAATAACTACTCTGTGTGCGATTCAATTCACAACGTTCTTGCCGACCGACCTTTACCTAAGTGTGCGTGCGTAGACAGTTAAAATACCGCATTCCATGCATTGTGAATTTAAAGATAAAAAGGACCTTTTCTGCAAATTTGGGCGTATATTGTTATGGTTAGTAATAAGCTTTATAATTTTTTAGTAGAAGGTATTCTCTTTCATTGCATTAGTTTGTTAGAATTGATCATGCTCATTTTTTAAAGGCGTAACAAAAACAAAACGAAAGCGCAAGCTGATCGTGGATGAAGTGAAGAACATATCTGGTGAAGAAATGAAGAATCAACTCAGTAATACTTCAGACATTGTCACTACTTTGGACCTTGCTCCGCCTACTAAAAGACTGATGCATTGGAAGGAAACTGGTGGTGTAGAAAAATTATTCTCCTTACCTGCCAGGCCTATACCTTCACAAGTATTGTTTAAGGTAAAATTAAATGAAAATTACATTCTAGTATTAATGGAACCTTTATTATGTAAGTTTATAGATTTTTAAGTAAATGTGTTTCACTTTATAATTTTACCATCAATAAAAAAAATTGTTTGTCCATTATATTGTAGGGTATGGAATGAGTAAAAATGCCAATTAGGATGAGAAATGGATATAATTTTCCACACAACAAGTGTATATACACGTTATCTAAAATCGCTTAGCTGCTTTAGAAAGCTCTGTATAATTTGCAGATGTAGGACAAATGCTCGTAATCGATTCCCGTAGATTCATTCCCGAAATAATTTGTTCTCCGATCGCCGGCGCACGCTTTTATACCCAATAAGAGAATTATAGAACATTCTACATCTGAAGAATTGTAGAAAATACTAGAACAATCGCGATATACAATATGTTCAAAAGAGATAAGGTTTTATTTTAAGGTGAAAGCTCCAGGGTGGCCCGCTAAATTCAAATTTTCTTGCGTTTTTTGAAATTTGCAGGTCAGGGTCAGGTTGTATGTTTAATAAAATATGATTCGCGACCATAACAAGTATGTGTTTATAGAATTATTATCATTAAAATCACCAATACAACCCTCTAAGTTCATATAATCCCTTTGAATGAGTTTTTCTGAAAATAACCATATAATGAAGTTTGAATTTAATTCATATATTTAATCATAAAGTCATATAATTTAAAGAAATTTGAATTTCGCGGGTTACCCTGGCGCTTCCACCTTAATTTCTCGAATTCCAGAAATATCAGCGCAATATGACATTAAGAAGTGAAGCAGAAGAGGTCGAGGCTGCGCGCTCGCCGGAGCCCGAGCCCGCGCGGCGAGCGGCTCGGAAACGTCGCCATGAAGAGGTAACCTATCTTTGCCAAATTTTTTAGCTGAAAGATTTTTGAATTGGCTACCCACAGTATTTTCTTTTTCTTTTTTTTTATGTTTGTTACATGACTGATATTTTACAAAACAGATAGAGTATGTATACTTTCACAATGTTCCCAATTATATATTGACTAGATGACAATTAGTCTTTTTTTCATAATACAGGACTTGTGACAAAGTCGCCAGCTAACCACTGAGCCACGCAGTATGCTTTTAATAATTTTTTTCTTAATTTTTATTTACCGCTGCACTAGGATCTTTTCATGTATCGTAGGGTCAGTTTATTAACATTTACTGGCACACAAATACTGGTTTCGTGCGGAATTCGAATCTACAGCCCTCGGCGTCGCGATTCAATGTTAAGCCACTGCGCCATGAAGCCGTCAATGCTTTATGTTTACAAGTAATTATGAGCGCCATCAACACCTTACATAATATGTTGATTCCTTTCACCGTTTGACACAGTTGTTTTTGAGTTTATTGATGATAGCTGATACTTACTTATATTTACAATTTTTGTTACAGGCAATACAGCCTCCAGAGACACCAGCCCCACCACCAACGGTAGAAATGGAACCACCCACACCAGTGCCTCAAGAATATGAACCATCAGTTGGTAAGTACTATTTAGAAATATATCTATAAATAACTTATTACAGGATTATTTTCTAACTAACTTCACTATGCTTTCATTCATAATTATTGCATTCACTACATAATATTTTAATAATATATTTAGAGTTAAAATAACCGATTATTAAACATTTTCATAATATAACAAATTTTAATTACATGTTTTCAAATGTAAAAACAGTTTCTCTTTACAACAAAGAAATGGAATAATTTGTCGGCGTCTATTTTTCCGTCCGAATACAATCTGGGCGTCTTCAAAGCAAGAGTGAATAGGCTTTTGTTACGCTAAGACAGTGCGATTTACCATCTAGAGCTACATCACCATTTACCACCAGGTGGGATTGTGGTCAAGCACTGGCTAGTAAAAAGTAAAAGAAAAGTTTTACTGCTGAAAATTTGAAATGAGAATGCTAATCAAAATCATTGTACCTACTAGAAATGCTTTTATAGTGGAAGAATCTAGACTTGATATATTTTTTATTTAGCAAAAAACATTACAATATAAATATAGTAAAAGTGATTTTTGTTCAATATATCATTTTGTTATATCTGTTTAGATTTTTTTTTTGTAATCTACAATAAGTTTTAACGTACATTTTTGTACCAGATACTTCAAAGAATATGTGTAAATAGTTTTTTAATACTTTCTTTAATATTAGGATATTGAATCACTATAGTTTTATGTAAGTGGACATTTCATATTTTCAAAGAAAACATTTTGCTTTTGGTGCTTTTCAACTTGGGTACAATTAGGTACAATAATATGCCTCATGTCCCTGTAGTCATTACGATCAGTGACTTTAATATGCTTTAAATATACACATAATTATAGTTAAGTTATCATGGAATTGAGAGAATATGAGGATCGTCTTATGATGGCTTGAATTAAAAAAGTATCTCAAAAACATATTTTATACATAGTATATAAGCATTTTATAAAAAGAAAAGAGATTCAATAAAAAACCAAAGTGGCGCATTCAAAGTATGTCAATAAAGAGTTGTGAAATGAAAAAGTCTCATTACAACCAGAGCATTTGAGAAAATCATTATGAATTAAAGGTCATTTTTTTACATAGTCCAATAATGTTTTAGTCAAAATGGTCTGATTAATAAAAACATTCTTTAAATTATTTAGATTTCAAAATAAATAATAAATTAACAGGTTTCATTTTCAAAATTACGTAAATTAAGGAACATGCAGCTTTTTAGGGCTCGGAGTATGTGCCTACTATGTGCAGTTTCTGATTTCGTAACTATTTTTGGTCTAAAATTGAAACTGTAGTACCTACATTTTAAAAATGTAAAAAGAAAACTTAAAAGGCAGATAATAATCATTAATCTTCCTATCTTTCAAATTTAAGCCCAAACGGCACTAATCACTATCGTAATTTATTCGAATTTGGATACATTATATGCTGAGATGGTACTCTTTACCTCTACACTCCATACACTAGCGCACAAATATTAACAATGCATTAATGGTGTGGTGCATGGCTAGCCTCCGAACGTGTCTTCGAGCCCGCTTCACCGCAGAGTCCGCGTACTGAAGACGTTGAAGCACCTCAGACTCCTGGTATGTATATAACTACATAGCCCTGACTCCATCAATCTAAACATTTGTATTGCAATATTGTCTTCCACTGTAAAAAGGAGGCTCTTAAACATGCATTTTGCAAAGGAGGGTTAAACTGAAATTACTATATGAAATACGTCAACAGCTTTTTGATTAAAATAGTGTAGTGGAGTAGTGGATATTTAATCACTGCTTTCTTGCTTACACAATCAATAACAGCAATAAAACAGCGTAATGCATACTCATGTAGTGTCAACTCATGATGGATGTCATGACATGATAATACCAAAATCGAATAAGTATGATATATGTATATATCGCAATACTATGTATCAAGATGTACACTGGTCAGCTTCACTGCAGAATACTCTTTGATTTTTTTAGTGGAATAACACAATATGACCAAGTGAATGAACTTTAAACCTGGACGAACAAGTGGAGTTTGTGAGTTCTACCCTCAATATTTACCTCTGACACTAGATATACCTAAAATTATGTTAACCCAAAATATATACCTTTGTAAAGGTGTATTATAATTAAAAATTTTGTGCAACCGACTTCAATAGACAGCTAGGTTAGTGTATTTTAGTTACTTTCATAGCGTAATGTCTTATGGAATTTTGCTATGGGGTAATGCGACTGATATTGAAGCTAATTTGTTTTGAGAAGAGATTGTTTGAAAAGAGAGCCGTACAGGCGATTTATAATCTAAATTGTAAAGAGTCCCTCAGAGAAAAATTTAAAGAAATAAACATATTAACTTTGGCATCGCAATATATTTATGAAAATGTAATGTATGTACATAAAAACATAAATAGCTTTAATAAGAATAAGGATGTTCATACCTTCAACACTAGGAACAAACATAAGCTTGTAATGCCAGTTACTAGACTCCACAGAATTAGTAATTCATTTATGGGGCAATGTATACGCTTTTACAACAAAATCCCAGAACATGTTCAAAGTTTGTCAATAAACAAGTTTAAAAGATTTATTAAAGAAAAACTGTACAAAAAGGGTTATTATAATATCAAGGAATATATGAATGAAAATAACCCCTGGGAATAAGGTGATCGCCAACATGCTGGTTCTATGAAAATTCGTTTAAAATTGTATAAACAAAATTATTGTTAAGTGAGATTATGTTTAAAAAAAAGTCCTGCTTGGTTCCTTCCTGGTTCTTCCCAGAACAGAGGTATTTTCCGAACCAGTGGTAAATAAAATAATGACTTTCAATAAATATTATGTAATAATCCATATTGAATAAAAATCATTCTATTCTATTCAAATATTAATTATTAAGAATAAGTCAAAAACGATTATAATTATTACCCAATAAATATTTTTACTATTATTGGTCAGACCTTGATGAAATTTATATGTGACCACATAAGAAGCATCGGCTATCAAATAAAAAAAGAATCATCAAAATCGGATCACCCCGAAAAAAGTTATGAGGTAACACACATAAAAAAAGAACATACAGTCGAATTGAGTACCATCTCCTTTTTTTGAAGTTGGTAGAAAAAAAGGTTGTTGATCAGGTCAACCCAAGCATTCACTTTTGATTCCAAATAATTAGTATTTTGAATTTTTCGTTGAAAATAAATGAGGTCAAGAATCAAGCAAATGGTCGTTTCCACTTTATAGTCAGTGGATGCTCTAACTCAAAGGCACCTATTATCTTTCATACCAGCTCATACATATCCTGAATTAAGAATCAAATGCAGCTGCATTGTAACCCCTGAGGACTAAAATGGGATACCTCATTACTCTTTGCAAGAGTGTGGTACTAGTCACATATTCTTTTTTTTATAGAATAAGGATAACAAATGAGCACACAGTCCACCTGATGGCATATTCATCTACATTTATTCTTGATTAAGGAATGCCTTGTTTCCAGTAAAAAGGGTCTCCGGTTCTCTACACTCACCATACAAAACACAACAGCATGAAGCTGCTATTTAATGTTGGTATTCTGTGAGAGCGTGGTCCTAACCCGGTCGAGCCGACCTATTCGTGCTACAACAATAATATAGTTACATCGTGGCTTTACCACATATGAAAGTAATTCTAAACTAAATTAAACTAAAAAGTGATGTAAATTTTATTCTATATCTAGTAGTTGACAGCCTCGTTAGTCTAGTGGTCGTAACTGCGACTGTCGGTCAAGAGGTCTCGGGTTTGAATCCTGGGGCGGGCTAAAAAATCACTTACTGCTTTTTCCTGTCAAGAAATTGTCACTAGCAGTCCGGAATTAGGAAATTGGCGGTTTTATCACCGTGCCTCGGAACGCACGTAAAGCCGTTGCTCCTATGCCTGATCTCTCTCCGATCGTGTCGAATTACCGTCCCATCGGACTGTAAGAGTGAGTGATAGAGAGTGCACACAGGTGCTTGCGGATACACTCGGGCACTATAATCGTGTCCCGCGCAAATGTCTAGTCTCCTCTGAGACTGGCCGCCATGACCAAATTTCGGTCTGGAGGACATATATATTTATATAGTGATATATATATTTAGTGATACATTTTGTAACACCTTGTCGTTTAAGCAAATCTATCACATCTTATCCCGTATTTTAACACCACTATATTGGTTTCAATAGATGGCGACCGGATGGTTAATTATTTAATTTAATTATATAATGTATTTATTAAGACTCGTTATAAATTGTAAAACAATTTTTGATTTTTAAAATAATGAGTACTGTTTCTGAAATTGACATTATTTCCGTTTAATTATTTATTCATTTCTTACCATAAAATTAGGTATTATGCTAAAGTAATTATCTCGCCAATCTAATTTTCGTTATCCGTGCATTTTTATATAATAATCATTTTTGTACTAAGTTTATTTGATACTTTGCAGGTGGCATGCTGAGTACTTTAGGTCCGCCCTTAACGCCCGGTGTGCTAGGGCCTTTAACACCTGGTACACTGCTAGACGGAGGTCTGACGCCTGGCGGTTTACCACATGGAGCTATAACGCCAGGTAATTGGCACATTAATTTTAATATATATTTGTTTCTCGATCAATTTGGCTTACGACGATACTTTTAAGCTATTGCCAAAATTTGCTTTATTCCAAACTAGAGACCCGCCGGGTAGGAACTTGTGGCATATTTATATTTAGGATAATCAAAAATTATTTTCTATTTGTTCATGGAGTTTCATTACAATGAGTTCAGCCACTTCACAGATAAGTCTGGACACACGGTCAGATAGGCAGACAGGAAAATTAAAAGTGGTTATTCATGACTAAATGGCATGCAAATAACACCTTCAGCATAATATAAGGCAGATATTTCGATATTACAGACAGGAACTTTAATTTTATTCGTAAGGTAATTATAGATTTCCTTCACTTTCAGTTTGTCTTAGTGTGTAGGTTAGTCCCGTTTAGCTACTAGTGTTGATCTTGGAACCAATGTATGCCTCGATAGTTATCGCCATACTAGCGGTCCGCCCCCGATTTGGGTTGGTGATTTCTGAATCTCGACAATAGTGCCACCTACAGGAACCATCCAGGTGACCTCATAAGTACCCAAAAATTTTAATTAAAATCGGTCAAGCCGTTTAGGAGAAGAATTACGAACAACACACCGCACTTTTATTAAAAAATTCTCGTCTTTTCTTCTATAATATGCATCTATTACATAATAAATCTTCCTCTTGAATCATTCTGTCTATTGATGAAAACCGCATTAAAACCCGTTGCGTAGTTTAAAAGATCTAAGCGTAAGGACGACGGGAAGCGACTGTTTTATATTATGTAGAGATGTTATATGTAAACATTACTTCTACATTCTATTATCATCATCAGTAAGAGTGTTAACCACTAAGATATTAAACAAATGCTGTAAAGTTTTTGCCGCAAGCGTAGATTCTCACCAAATGGTGTGATGAGAGATACAGATGACCATGACGATGCAAGCAGTTTATGGGGAAGGCTGGATTTATATTAGATATGAGCGCCGAAGGCCAATTCCTCGGCGGCGCGGCGTGGCTGGCCATAGGCCTTAGGTATTATTTATCAGGAAGAGATTTATTAAAAATAACTTAAAGAAAACCATATTGTTTGTACCAAAAACAGCTTAGCCCCAGCCCAGTGATGGGAACAGTATTCCATGTGAGGCCGAACCTGCGCCTTGTAAAGTTGCAGGCGGTGTGCCGGCATGAAATACTGTACCGCTCTGCTGAACACGCAAAGCGTTTTAGAGGCCAATATGGCCTTCTCTTCCAAGTGATCACGAAACTTGCACGTCACTCGATATGTCGACGCCGAGGATTCTGATACTGGCTGAGGCAACAAGGGGAGTGCCTTGAAACTGAGGAGATGCTTCGATCTGCAAGAAAGCTGGCGATTCAGTTGCACAATTTCTCTGGAAGCGCATTGAAAGGGAGCTTCAAAAGAAGAGCTTTGTGCCAAACCCGATCGAAAGCCCTTCGCTATGTCCAAACTAACGGCCAATGCCTCCCCTTGGACTGTTATGCCTCCGCCCATCTATGAGTCAGGTAGACCAGAAGATCACCAGCTGACCGACCCCGGCGAAAACCGTATTGGCGGTCACTAATCAGCTGGTGATCCTTAAGATACCGCATGAGCTGGCAGTTTATAATGGATTCCATTATTTTGGAGAACAAGGTGATGGCGATAGGCATAGCTAGACGGGTCTGAGCGGTCGGCTTTTTTAGCCAGCCTGCAGAATGCAATCGCGATGTTAGTGTGAGTGGCACTACACTCCGGACTTGACAATGATCTGAGGAGCCAAGAGGGGAATTGACGGAGACCTAATATCTATCTGAATGAGAGGTCAGCAGAAGGTCCAACAGGGAAGGTATATGATCTTCCACATCTGGAATCCGCGTAGGCGAAGTGACCAGTTATGTCAGACCCTATGCCAAGGCAAAATCATGAACAGATCGCCCCGCATGATAGGTTAAACATGAACCGAGCCATTCGGCGTGGTGGGCGTTACAATCGCTGAGTATCACAATCTTTGCGGATAGGAAAGAGCAAGGCCGGCTCGTGGCAGGGGTCGCCTTGGCCTTGTTGCTCAGCTTGCCCCATGACCCCCCACCCCCCTCAGAATACGTGGGGTTGCCTGAGCACCCAGGATTATTACCACTCCTGGGTCCCTCCTCAGGAGTGGAGTAGCTTGAGAAGCAGATCCACTTCACGCCGGTATTCTGTGATGTCGTGGTACCACCCCGGCTTAAGCCGGCCCATACTTGCAACAGTCGAAGTTGCTGCCATTGTTAACACCACACAACAATACACGTTCAATCGGTGAAATATTCGAGTCGACTGAGTGAGCGACGAGCGTGGCGAGGCGACAAGGCGAACTAATACGGTCGGGCCGCGCGTGTGAGCGGGATAGGAAGTTTCTCGTCGTCACGACGCGCCGGCGCGGCGCTCATATCTAATTTATATGTACATTATAAACTGGTCTTAAAAAGTTAAATAGTTTAGAAGCAGTTTACATATCTTTGTTTGTTGGGAGAGTTTTGGAGCAGGGATGAGAATGATGTGCTTTCTCAATGCATATTTACGGCCTTCACATGTCCTTGAATATTTTTTTTTATTAATCAGACATGCAGGTTTATTCACGATGTTTTACAGTCGACTCTCGATAATTTGAAACTCAAGGGACCAGAGAAAAATTTAAAATTACCAAGACTTCACCATAACGGGAGTTTAGATAACCAAGAGGGAGGGAAAAAAAAATCAAGTAAACAAGAGATTGATCAAAATTCGTGATTTATTATTTTAAACATTTGTACAATTATTCACATATGTTCATATTGAAAAAAGTCTGTCTCATTTATATAAACAATCGACAGGTCTGTCTGTGCATGTATGTAAACAAACAACAGGTTTGTTCATGATAGACGCTTCAAATTATCGAGAGAAGGGAAGCCCAGACTTCAAATTATTGCATGTTTACGGGCAATATACTATTCCTTCTACTTCTAATTACCGAAGGGACCCATTACCCATTAGTATTTTTCAAGGGCTCTGGAAAAAAATTCATAATATCGAAAGATTCAAATTAACAAGTGTCATATTATCGAGAGTCAACTGTACTTATTTTGGAGTTCAAATAACTAAAACCAAAAATAATAATTAGTTATGATGGGATATGTAATATTATTCAAGTACAAATGAAGAATGTGTTGTTTATTTTTTGGGTTCAAATCTTTTGTAAGTATATTTTTGTGGTACTAGGCGGACTTCCACATGGCGGCATGACTCCCGCAGGTCTACAGCACGGCGAACCGCAGCCTATGGATCTGGGACTGGGAGCAGGTGACATGACTTTATTACTTATTTCTTGAATGTGGTAAAGCCATGCTGCAGCTGTATTATAATTGTAACATGAATGGATCGGCTCGACCGGGGAAGGACTCACAGAATACCAGCGTGAATAAAAAATAGCAGCTCAATGCTGCTGTATTTCGTATGGTGAGTTGAGAGCAGAGAAACGGAGATTCTTTTTACTGGATACGAGACATCTTAGTCCTCAAGGGTGACAATGAATCAGCATTTTGAATTGTAATCGAGGATAAATGTAGATGTCTGTGGGGCACAGTATCCACTTATCAGTAGGTGGACTATATGTTCGTTTGTCTCTCTTATTCTATAAAAAAATATACACTGAAACACCCTCTTGACATATAATCACAAGCTATTCTAATTATTTGATTGAGATTGGCAGTATCATCTTTCTAATTACAACCAGAAAATAAAAACTGCATAAATTATATTAAAGTACAATTGGCAACCTTATCATTTATAAGCGATCTCTGCCAGGCACATTGCAAATATAATATAAGGAACTGTGAGGAATGGAAAGGGGTGTACGCATACAAATATATTAATTAATTAAAATTTACATAATATATTCACTTAAGGTACATAAACATGGGAATATCTGTATAAAAAAATAAAGGAGTAAAAACAATAAATAATAATAACTAAAAATAATAATAAAAGTAAGGGATAATAGGTAAATAGGTTTGCGCGAACATAAAAATTTTACATTTAAATAAAACTAAGTTTTACAGATTTTATCGCTTATATTAATTTATTTTATAGTCTGTTCGCTTAGATACGGTTGCCTATGTGTGGCGCCGGCTTGGCACGTGCCGCATTTTGTCAAAGGCGCCGCCGCGACTGCAAAGTTTGCCGCGTGCGGCCTACACCCGAAAGAGACTTTGACATTTGAAAACGAAGCGCTGTAGTGAAAGGTTCTTTGCTACGTAACTTGGTTTTGTTATTTATATTCGTATTCTATTACAATAACCATAAAAATAATTCCATTTTATTCTTAGAATAGGAAAACATTTATTTAATAAACACAGTAAAATAATAAAATAAAAGCAAAATAATAAGAGCGCCTCCGGGTGTACCGGCGCACTACCTTAGCGAACAGACTATAAATTCCCGACGTTATGAGTACTTTACAGCACCCATGATCACAGGGGGCACTATGGTGTTCGACGTCCCAATGTGATATTTACGCATGACTACCTTCAGTTTAAAATTATTAATTTTTGATTCGATCTACGCAGAATGAGTTTACTTTTTATTTAGTATCTTGAAATCTTCCAGTTGTATGCTTGGGTTGGGATTTAATTTTATTAATTATAGAATTCCAAGCAGATTGTAGCGATCTTCTCTATTGAAATTAGGATATTTTTGGATTTCAATAGCCTCGCGAATAATCCTTGGAATAAATCTGTTGCTGCTGTTCTCTAGCGAGGATTTGTGGTTTATCAAATCTGATGTAGTGACGAGGGCGACCCTGTACACAGACTGCAGACTTTCTGGAGCGTCGATTCTTCACATCAGCTGTGTTCTTTTACGCGGGTTTACTAAAAGATCAATCAACCCGAGCATAAAACTTAGATTCATTTAAATAATAGTTAGTACTTATTATATAGGTATAGGTGGAAATTATTCAAATTTAAATAGATTTAATCTGCCACACTCAAAAAAGCTATTTAAAAAATAAATTTTGTTGATATCTAGACGGCGTGTGATGGTTCACGACGTATTCCCCTCTTTTCTCCCTGCATAATGACTCTCGAAACTGAGTCTAACTCGACAATGAGTCTAGTTCGTTCATTTTCGCACTTCGCGACAGTGGTAAATCTGTTTTAATCTATCCTTAACGTAATAAATATCATCTGTGTGAAATGCATATTATTGTGAAAAAAAAATTGTACATTTTTATGGACTGCTGTTTTGATTTTCGATCACAGGTATGACTCCTGGTGGTATGACGCCCGGTGGTATGACGCCAGGTGGTATGACACCAGGTGGTATGACACCAGGTGGTATGACGCCAGGTGGTATGACCCCAGGTGGTATGACGCCAGGTGGTATGACCCCAGGTGGTATGACTCACGGCCTGGGTTTAGAAAGCGGAATGACGCCAGGTGGTTTGGTTCATGGAGGGCTAACTCCAGCTGGCCTTCAACATGGCGGAATGACACCAGGTAAGTTCAAAGATTTATGTTTAAACAGAAAGTTAAGTTGCTATGAGAAAAAAATTAAAAATATGTGCGCCTAATGCTCTACTCAAATTAATAAAATATATAAAGTAGTAATTTGTAATAAATTATTAATTCATTAATTACACTTATAGCCATTAAAAGTCCACTGGTGAACATAACAGTCTCCCCCATACATAGTTTCGTAGAGGGGATATTTGCCATAGTTACCACGTTCAACTGCTGGGTTGGCAATGCATCTCCTATTTCTAATTCACTGTGTTGTTTCTTACAACACCCACGGGATGGAATGGGATAGTGGGTACTCTTACGCCGTCACTACACGCCAAAAATAAATCATTCTTAATATAAAACGTTGCTTAATCTAATGAGCGTCGTTTATGCTTCGTACGGTTAACCTTTTTCAAATTCTCACAAATTAGTGTTTTACATTTTTATCTAAAATAGCTTATTTAAAATTTAAAATTTTGTACAACCGACTTCAATATAAATTATCAAGGATAACTGAAAACTATAGGTCAGACTTTGATGAAATTTATATGGTACCGCATGAGAAGTACCAGCTTTCAAATAAAAAGAGAATCATCGAAATCGGTTCACCCAGAAAAAAGTTATGAGGTAACACACATAAAAAAAGAACATACAGTCGGATTGAGTACCTCCTCCTTTTTAAGTCGGTAGAAAATGACTTAATAATATTTACTGTTTAATCTTTAAATATTTGACACTAGGCGATCTAGTTCACGGGGGCATCACGCCAATGGGACTGGAGCACGGCGGGATGACACCGTCGGGTGAGTGTATATGATCATACATTAATACTTTATTCAGACTTAATGGCGGCTGTGAATAGTCAGGTTGACAATAATGTCTACTTTATTAGTACTCCTCGCCATCATCATCACAGACTATCAAAGACCATCGCTGACCATAGGCCTCGCCCATAGATTGCCTCATATATTTTTCATAGTTGCAACACTTGGCAAGGCGGGTTGCCAACCGCAGCTTTTTTATTATATATTTTCCGAAAGATGCTTCTGTCCATACAAGATATAGAAATTGAATCTATTATTGGATGCAGGTTTTTTGTAAATTATATATTTTACGGCAACTGTGGCACTTGTAAATTAAGTACATATAAGGCGATGTTTACTAGTATTATACAAAAGCTGGTTCTGAGGTATGTCGGCGTTTTTGTCTTAATAGCTTAAAAATAGGTTCATAAAAAAGCATGTACCATAATAATTTCTTATATATAAGCGAAGACTACACATTAAATGAAACAAATTTTTACGGATTTTATCGCGTTTAACTTTTTAATTCCCGACGTTTCGGGTGCTGTAAAGCAGTGGTCACGAGGGGGGGGGGGGGGCTGAGGTGTTTCACATCCCGATGTCATAGTTTGCCCGGCTACCTTCAGTTTTTGAATATTAATTTTTGGTCCGATCTACGCAGAATATGTTACTGTAAGCTTATTATGCGTAGATCGGAAGAAAAAAAAATATTAAAAAAAAATTGTTTGATTTAAAGCATGTACCACTTTATATTTAAAACATAATCATGATAGTAAATAGTAATGAATAATGAAGAAGAAACTTAGCTGTTAGATTATGTAGAAGTTTTACCTATGTCTGCCACCGAGCAACAGCTCGTACTATGTTGTGTTCTGCTCTGAAGAGTATGGAGAACCATTTACATTATATGCTTTGAGGCATACCGTCTTAGTCCTAAGAGGTGACAACGCATCTGTAGCCTATTTTATTTGAAATTGGCTATGGGTGGCCATATACTGCAGCAACCTTTTACTATAAGGTGGGCTGCAAGATCGTTTGCCACTTAAATTTTATATGAGAAAAATATCCACAGAATTACAACATGGTGCGCTACTGCAGCACAGTATGGAGCAGCTGCCGATGATGCCTCAGCTTGGGGGAGAACAAGTATCGACATTATTATCCCGGACAGTACCTACTACGCAGCCGTTGCAGCATGATTTACCACACACAGTGCCTATGGAACCACTACCATTACATGGATTGGATGAACAAACAGATTATCAGGTATATTATTTTATACATGTTACACCAACGATACTCCAAGTAATTCAAGTGATTACTCAATGATCAAATAATGTCGCTCCAGCACTTGTTCAGATGTAAACATACTTATCTCTTTCTATCTAAGTCAATCTTGTGTTTCTCAGATAAATTAATGTTTTATGAGAAATAAATTTCTTAAACTAGAATTCACCCATCAGATGTTATTGAAGTCAAGCATTGGTTTACAATAAGTTAAAACCATAAACATAGAAAAATGGTCTGAGTGTAAGCTTCACAAAAGTGACCATTCCCTAGAAGGAGACAAAGCGGCTGTGCGGCCATTACCTGTCTCTTTCCTGCAAGCGACGTGGACCAATCAGAATTCTAAAAAGAGACAACTACTAGCCGCACATTCGCTATGTCTCTCTCGCACTTTTCGGTCTGTATTCAGTGAATACTGTTCACTGCACAACTGAATACAGAACTCACAGTCCATTCTCTCTGTCTATGGTTAAAACATTATACATATCACCACATTTATATTTTTACATGCTTAAGGATATTGCAGTGGAATTTTTCAATAAAATTTCCTAAACCCTCAGCAAGGATGGGAAAGATCTAATCTCTAAGAAATAAATAATTTTGAAGACATGTGAAGCTTCATAAAACTTAAAAAAGGAGACTAGGTTTGTGTGTAGCAGTGGGTAGGATGTAGACTGTAACTTTACCTTATACACCTAAATACCATTATTTTTATACAGATATAAAATTTGAGGATTTTGTAATATTTTGTGTGTATTGTATTTTCTGAGATTTTTATTTAATAATCGCCATGACTGGAAATGTGCAGTTGTAGTGTCTTATTATTGTTTTTTTATTTATTCTGAACAATACAAATTGTAAAATGTGAAATATAACATAGTGGTGAAATAATAATTAGATAATTTTAAAAGAAATGAATGGGCTTCAGGTTATCATCCGATCTTCTTTTCTTCTTCTTTTTTTAATCGTGCAGTTCGGTGCGGGGCGAGACGCTTGCTGAGTACTTAACTAGGCTTGCCAGCCGTCCTGGATTTTCTGGGACGTCCCGCTTCTGGGTCAATTTTGGGCCGTCCCCCCATGACCCCATGCGCGACGCCTTTTGTCCCGGAAATCAGTGATTATATGATATTAGTATCTATCTCGTACCAACTACACTAATTTGTTACACATTATTAAAAAAAAAATCTAACCAATTTGTATGTGGTGTGTTGTGTCCCGCGTAATATATCCAAGTCCCGGATGTCGAGCTGGGTAGTCCCGAAAATGACTTTTTTGGAGTTGGCAAGCCTATACTTAACCCTAGCGCCAGTTCCCTAGTGGCTAAGGGCCGCTCGGGAACTTGTCCTGTCAGGCAAATAAATTTAAATGGTTCACACTACATGTGCGGTAAAAACCTGTGGGTTAACCTCATTTAAAGATAAAGAATTCGTTTCATCAGTTCCCATATAGATATTCATTTGTTTAAACGTGAAATAAAATAAAATCAGGTTTTTATTTTTTTATTACTTTCCGTTCTGACATCTCTAGCAGTTTATTGTTTACGTCGGCTTTTAAGACAACATCAAACGCGATGACTGACTATATGTTCTTCTTAGGCTGTGCCGTTACATTATTAAGTAATAATCAGTTGAAAAAGAAAACATTCTCTTTTTTTAGTTAATATTGATTGCATTTTCCTTCCATTTCAGACTAGTATGCAAATGACCAATTTAGGATATGACGAACAACAGCCGCCTCCTAGTCCGCCGCATGATTACGATTTGCCTCTCAGTGTGGAAGCTGTAAGTATTATTTGTTAAATTGTTAAATAACTAAAATCAACCAGTCCACCGCCTCTCCCATAGAAGGAAAGATTATATGATTAATTTAATAAGAATGTAAGATGTAATTTTTGTATTAAATTTATGAACACATTAGTAGGATATAACAAGTGGGGTGCGGGAAGAAAAGACTGGATAGTATATAAGAACCTCCAAAGGCGGCGGAGTTATAGCCGAAATAAGAGTTTTAAATTTTTTGGTTATTGGCCATTTTGACCCCCTAGGAGTGTAATGAGAACTTTTTGGCCCTATTCAACCATGTCCCCCATAACATCCTCTACATGACAGGCTATTCACTGACTAGGCCTAAAGTTCGAGTCACCCCCCAACTCATTTCTACTCTTTACTTCCAAGTAGATACTGTTCTTATGAGGCCTTAAAACATGTTTACTTGTATTCCCACATAATTTCCATAAAAAACTCTAGCTTTAACTGACCTAAGCTCCAACTATCTTATTTATGTATGTACAACGCCTACCATGTTACAATAGAATTTCCTAGTGTAACGGGTAATATTATATAATAGTAATAAATGAAAAAGTTTATTATTGTGTCGGGTTTTGGATGGAATTTGACCACGGGCGGATTGTTGCTCTTGTAATGATAATGTTTAATAATGATTTGAAGTAGACTTTGATATGTAAACGTGGTGTAATGTGTATTAAATGTCTGTAGTATACCTATGTAAATAATCAGTGGAAGCGGTGAAATAAGAGTTCCAATGGTGATATATCAGCATATCACCATTGGAACACTTATTTCACCGCTTGTTGCTATGTTGTCTGCTTGGGTGTGTTGGGATACATATTATCGTTATCGAGTGGCTGCCGTCACAATTCTTCGTAAAATGTCGCCTAAAAAGGTTTGGACAAGTTTATTAAAAGATATTTGCTATTTGATTCAATTTAGCCTGTCTCTTCTTATGATACCCCATGGAATGATTTTTTTAGTGGCCTTGGTTATTTTTGTAGATTAGTTACAATCGGCATATTATTAAATTGGACAATGTGTTGCATCATTTATTATTTACTAGCTGATACCCGCTCGTTTCGCTGGGCGCACGATAATATTTTATTGCGAACCTAAATCTAAAATATTCAAAAAATAAATTGACAAACATTGCGAAATGAATAACTATACTAAATTTCAAGACAATCGGGTGTATAGTTCTAGAGATCTCGTGATGAGTCAGTCAGTCAGTCAGTAAGGCAGTGGTATTTCGCATAATTACAGCCCATTATAAGTTCACTGTTGAACATAACTTTCGAAATATACCATAGAAAGGTTCTTGAGTAGCAGCCTCGTATTGGCAGGCGAAGTGTAGGGCGTCTCTCTCCCACTAGATGGAGTGACGACCTGTGGCATTCCTTGAGGGGATAAGGAATGCCACAAAGCACGGTCTCGAGCCACCTGCATTTATTGACTTCTTACATATCTTACCAGGTTGTCACTCCATTTAGTGGGGGGGGGGCTTATATGGCTAGCAGTGCAGGACCACGTCTTATAGGTCATCACTGGCAACACGCATTGGTTGAACAATCTTGTTTTGAGGTTTTAAGGTATGTCTGATGGGAAGATGTGTCGTAATCTACCGAATGCTGTCCAGCCGAGTTGAATCCGTCGATTGACCTCTTGGTCGAAGTTGGACTTAACTGGTCGGACTATTTGTCTTAGGTAAACATTCTCGTTAACAATTTCGAGCTTAGTGCTCATAATATCTACCGGCATAGGTGTGACATGGACGTTACACATGACTTTTGTTTTGTCCATGTTGTAGCCAATACGTTAAACAATAAAAAAAAACTTGTGTGTTCGCAGGGCGAGAACTAAATTCTTGTAGCCAATGCTTATAATAAATGAAAAAAATGTGTGTTGCGTGCGCAGGGGTCAGAAGGCGGGCGCGGCGGGTGCGGGGCGCGCGAGGAGCGCGAGGCGGGCGAGACGGAGGAGCAGTTCTCGGAGCGCGTGCTCAACCGGCGCGCCGCGCAGCTGTTCGCCGCCATGCGCCCGGCGCTCGCCGCGCGCCGCAGCCTGCCCTTCGCCGACGTGGCGCCGCCGCACAACACCCGGAAGCAGGTCAGCCTACACCACATCACGCCACACTTCTCTCTATATTTATCCATACAAGGTTATTTTTCAAAGAGTAGTCATATTTTAAAATTAAGTTCTAATGTACGAATAATGATATACCGTTATTGCGATTTTTGAAAATACGAGTAAATAAGGCTTCTACTTTTATTTCAAATTATCCTAAATTTAATATAATTTATGGGCAACAACGTTTTTGCCTACCGATCGACCCTTACGAATGTGTGCGTGCGCAGTAAAATCAGTTAAAACCATGCATTACCACGCATTTTGAATTGATTGATTTTTCTTCACCATTTGCATATATTATTACTTATTCGGAACCTTCTCTGCAAATGTGGCTCGTTATTGCAAAATAACCCTGTATGTACTACGCACTAAACCGAACATTCACTTTGCTCGACTAAACTGTAATACATACCTTACTTTTGTGTGGCTTCGACATTCATGCAGTGTGATGGATGTTTTATCACACCAAAGTAGCAAATCTTGTAGTTACAATGCGTACTTGTATGCATAACTGCAGGTAGTTATAACAAGGTCACCGTAATTAAACAAAGTTAAATAATTTATGTAGTTAAATAAAAATAGTTTTTTCGCTTACAAAAAAAGGAATTAATTTACAATTAAATAATACTTGAAATGAATCTCCGTAAATTACTTTTTATTTGCACCGCGTGCATTCTAAATCGCACCTGTCGTCAGCAGCCACTGTACTAATTTTACTTGTATAAATGTTGATTTGTCATAATTTTAACAACGGAAAATATAGGTTTTATATGAATCCAAGAATCTTCTACCAAGCTAACGATTACCGCCATAAAAAACAATAACTTTAACAGATGGCTTAACATTGCTATTTTGAACCTATTTTAAATGATTTTTGCTAAGCTCCATTCCATTGTGTATCGGCGTTTAACTCAAGTTAAACCATTGGAGTAAAAATAACATAAACCTTATTGGATTTTTCAGTATTCTTTAAACAACTAGTGAAATAATGTTATTCCTCAGGGATGACGACTTATATCTATCTCACATCATCCACTTACCATCAGGTGGACTGTATGCTCATTTGTCAGCTTTATTCTATAAATAAAAAATAATGAAATAATGTTATTCCTCAGGGGTGACGACTTATATCTATCTCACATCATCCACTTACCATCAGGTGGACTGTATGCTCATTTGTCAGCTTTATTCTATAAATAAAAAATAAAAAACTTTATAAATTATTAATCACTGCAAGAAATTTATAATTTTTAAAGATGAACAGTATCAATATGATGTTGGTTAATACTGGTTCACCATGATATCTTGACAGAGTTTTTAAAATTATTGTATTGATTGTAGGTGGCGCAGAAATTCTACAGTTTATTAGTACTCAAGAAACATCAAGTTTTGAAACTGGAACAACAAGAAACATATGGACCCATAACAATATCAAGAGGCGAACAGTTCGAAACGGATGCGATTTAAATATAGTAATTTTATTAATTATATTAATGGCAACAAAATATCAAGTAGTTATAAAAGATTGTAATTAATATAAAAAGGCGATACAGCGCTATGTAAAAAGGATTTTACTGGAATAAGTGGAGCCAACCAAATATATTGCATAAGTTGAGCTTCTGATTCGAGCTCATAGAAACTTTAAATCTTAAATGTGTAATGAAAAATGTGTATTTTTGTCAAGTTTTTTTTTATACGAAAAATTATGTATTAGGTACCTATTATATAATATATTTACAGAAAATAGGCCATTTTAATTCTCTAATTATGCATGACGTGATAAATTTGTTTGCCAAAGTCATAATATGTGTTTATCAAAAATATTTTTATAGCACCTTTCACTATAGCAATAAAACAATTATAAAATATTTTTGGTTTAGCAAGACAATGTCTCATAATTAACTAACCAATTGTTTAGTGTTAGTGAATCAAGAATTAATTTCATTTTGTGGTTTTACACTTCCAGAATTGACTTATAATGGTTTCTATGATCTCGTTTGATAAGCGAAAGTACAGTTTTGATTTCGAAAATCTTTTGTTGGATAGACTTGTAGCATATTGCCTTACTTTGTTTTGATTTAGGATAAGTGAAATTATTGTAAACTACGATTTATTGTTTAATAGAAACTCTAATCTAGATGATTAAGTATTATTGTTAAGTGCTACTTTGTGAATCCAAAATTGTGTTGTTGCTTGTCTACTATGAAAATGAAAATTATGATTATGACTGATACATTTTTATAAATATGTATCTATTCTATTCTCAAGGGAATGTAGATATTAAAATGTTAAACAAATATATTTGATTTACGGTCAGATCGACGTGATTTATAAAAATAATATATATTTCAATTTCACTGTGAATTCTTCTATTTTGTTTTGATTGTATTTATTGTAAAACAACCATTTTCACCTTTTTAAATGAGTAGACACTTAAACTTGCTAATACTTTCTCACATTTAAATAGGGACCATTGAATTCAATTTCGATCTATACAAATAAATAAAATTGAAGTGTCTACTTGTAATGTTAAAATAACAGCTTTTTACTAAATGCATATGAAAGTATATACTGTACTAATAACAAAAAAAAAAACAATTTTTAAAATTTTTGTCTGGTCTGTCTATCGGTTTGTTCCGACTAATCTCCGAAACGGCTGGACCGATTTTGACGGGACTTTCACTGGCAGATAGCTGATGTTATAAGGAGTAACTTAGGATATTTTTATTTTCGAAAAAAAATTAGGGTACCGCGCAAAAAAATTAAAACCCATTAAATCGGAGTAAATTACAAGCGGACGAGGTCGCGGGGGACAGTTAGTTACATATAAATATAATGTTTAGGAATTTACTTTACCAAATTTATAACATGTCCTCCTTTTCTATTTTTCTAGATATTATTATTTCCATCCTTAAATTACTGAACGTTAGCATTTCTGACTACAATTACTGAAGTCATCCTTTACAGTCGTAGTATTTTCTAGTTTTTTTAACGGACTTCAAAAAAGGAAAAGATTCTAAATTCGACTGCATTTTTTTATGTGTGTTACCTCAGAACTTTTTTCTATTTGAACCGATTTTGATGCTTCTTTTTTTATTTGAAAGCTAATGCTTCTCATCTGGTCCCATATAAGTTCTGACCAGTAGTTTTCGAGTTATCCTTAATAATGCGTATTTAATTGACTTCGCCTACATTGATGATGTTCTTATTTTATTTACATTTGAAGTCTATTGTATTAAATTTTTAATTTTACCACTTGATTAGTACAATTATGTTTTGTAAACCTATGCCTAATTTTTTAAAGATGCAATCGATATCTGCATCCTATAAATTAATTTCAGTTTGTTCAATATTAGTTTTTTTTTTTTTCTATAAATTGATTATTTTAAAAACTACAAACTTTCCAACATTACTCAAATTGGCTAGTTAGTTATACCGCCGAAATCAGACATGCAAGAAACAAATTTACAAACAAAACATATGAGAAAATATAAATCGCAGTCTACAATCCCTCTTATAGTTCTTTATAAGAAAAGGCGGAGAAAATATGGAAACACGAGATGATGATTTTTTTATAAATTTTTCATAGGTATAATCATTTTGAGTTTAAGTTTTCTCTTGCACACACAGAGCACGACTCTACAGCTATCTGTTAAGAGTTAAAAATATAAACATATTCTACAAATTGCCGCGCACATATCTACTTAAAACACTTATTTCCTAAATAAAAAAAATGTTACAGTAGTGATAAAAAATTAATATATGCGTTACAATCAGATAAATCCGTCGTCTTCGATTTTCGAATAGTTATAACCACTTTGTTAGATAAATCGTAAGTGTTGTGGTATAGTTTACTCTTATATTTTCATTTCGCGTCATTTGAACCTTAATATCAAATTATTTTATTGAAAATCATCGTAGCATGTAAAATTGTATGTATGATAAATAGGAATTCAAACTACATGTGTATTTTTTGTATGAATATGAATAAAAAATAAGGAAATTTATCATAAAATTAAAAGTAATTTGGAAATATATGTACAAACCCCCAGTAATTTGGTGATATTTTTTTATAGACAAATCATGCGAACATTTGTATTAATCTAAAATAAGTCATATTTTTACATTTCTTTGAGAATTATTATTTTATTGTTTTATATTTATGAGCTTGTTCACGCCAAAAGGAATACATCCATATTATTTACATTACGATAGGTAATACGCTGCATTTATTTTGGAGTTACCTATCTAATTCAAATTATAAAAAAATAAGTTTAAATGCATTAAGAATGCCTGGACCTGTTTCATAAATGTAGTTATGAAAATTATCTAAAACCACGATTTAAACGTTTACCCCTGTAGTGTTACATGGACTTTCGACAATAACTGAACGTCCGTATTCACAGAGGTATTCGTTTAGACGCATGTCAAAAACTGAAATAAATTTGTTGATAATAAAACTTTATGTATTTAACTTAACATATTACATTTTTTTCCAAGTTTTAGTTCTCCTCTAATGATCATTTGATACATGTCTTATAATTCACCAATGTACAGAGTACATATTGCACTATGACCTATGACCTATGGAACTGAGACGTGGTTCTTCACTGCTGGCCGCATGAGAAAGCTCAGTCGCTCAGCGAGCTATGGGCTATGCTCGGCGTTTCTCTGCGTGATAAACATAGAAACGAGGATATCCGCAGTAGAACCAGAGTAACCGACGTAGCCCAAAGAATTAGTATGCTGAAGTGGTAATTGGCCGGTCATATAGCTCGTAGAACCGACAACCGATGGGGAAGAAAGGTTCTCGATTCTCGAGTGGCAGCCTCGTACCCGTTAGGCGAAGTGTAGGGCGTCCCCCTACTAGGTGGAGTGACGACCTGGTAAGACATGCAGGAAGCCAATGGATGCAGGTGGCTCGGGACCGTGCTTGGTGGCATTCATTCCTTGGAGAGAGGCCTATGTTCAGCGGTGGACTTGTGAAGGGCTGTAATGATGATACATATTGCACCATAAGCCATGCATTGAACCCTGTCTTAAAATAATTTATGAGGTTACGATTTAACCAATTTTGTAATTGAAATGAATGAACAGTCATGGCAGCACTAGGTAATGGGCGGAGCCTATGCCATTTTAGTTTCAATTTTGGCACGCGTTAGAATTATTTAATTTATGTCCTCTCTAATTTTAAGATTAATGGTCTGCGGAGATATAGTTATTCGGAACAAAATGGCGAAAAGAGGCGGGAAAGGTGGGCGGTAACTAAAACTAGAGATGGAATACACATACTGTGCTGTTACAATTACAATTAAATAATCGATTATGATTCGATTTTATTTTGTATTTTTTATGGTTCATTGGTGCGAAATGCAACATGTTTTAAATACATTGATTATGATTTTATTAAAAATTTAAAGTTATATTATTTTGGGGTTACTGAAATAATTTGTTGTCCCTGTTAATAACGGGTATGTACTATGTATTTAATAGCTTTATTATTACATACTATTGTTTTTTGAAATACATACAGATATTTTCATTACAATAATAATATTCAATTTATCTTTAATCGATATAGACCACACAAACTGCCTAAACAATCTTAGGAGCGAATATGAAGTGGCACATCTCTTTCGCCTAGCGTCTGTACTTGCACTAATGTCTCAGAAATAAGATAAGGCGGCTTCTTCACATTGGCCAACATTGTGGCGAATGTTATGGCCTATACCTATGGCCATCATTTAAACCGGATGTTTGTGCTTACCTTGGTATGTATTGGAATGATGGCCTACAAGTTTGCGCAAGATCCGTGCGGTGTCGGTTTTTTACAAAAGATCAAAGGGTTGGGGCAGTGTTATGGCCTCCGCGTCCACACGTTGGGCGCGCGTTTCGTAGAGATGAGTCGTACTAGGTGTACTTAGTCCAATTCCGTACAAATACTCGATCCAAATACCTGTTCCACCTAGTCCGTGAAGTACGCATAAAATTTGGTATTGTTACACCACTTTAAAGTATATAATCTTTACGTACAGCCGATACGTCAAGGTAATGAACAGTAATCATCTATAGTAATGAGCCTTTTTCTTGACGGCATAATTATTGACTTCAAAGACATTTAAGTAGTAGTAGTAACTTATATTTAAATCTCTTTGACTTTGATTGACTCATAGGATTGACTTATATTTGGTTTGATGCTTCCTGCTTCCAGCTATAAGACCTTCTTACCAAAAAGATCTTATAACTTCCGATAGATGGCGGTATAAATATCTCGCTTACATCAAGCGTAAAATAATGCGACCGTAGGCAAAAAGCAGCGTCAAAGGTGTAACCAAGCAAGGAGGTTGTAAAATTTATGGAGTGCGCACTTCATACTAGAGAAACTTCCCCAAATCAGTGACCTTGAAATGAATGAAAGCACCGAGTTAGGCGTTGCATTTCTTTCTAATAGAGTGTACATGATACAA